TTGCCCTGGCCCCGATCCCGTCACCACACAGGTACCAGAGGCAGACCCCCGGGCTGTCACATCCCCATCCCCCCTCCCGAGCGCTGCCCCAAACCCCTGCGGGGAGAATTTGGCCAATCCCTCCTCCCTCCACCCAGAGATAAAGGGGTGCGTGGCACAGGCGGGCAGGGTTTGGCAGCCGGGAGGGACATGGCACGGTGAGGCTGGCGGCGTGGGTGGGACGTGCTGGCAGGACCCCAAATTGTCAGCACCCGACCGTCTGCTGCAGCCCCGGCTCGTGCAGGGACCTCGGGGTCCCTTCGCCTGCTTAATCTGGGCCCCATAAAATGGTTCGTGTCTCCTCTTGGCCATAACCTTCTGGCTCCATCGCCTCTCCCGCTGCAGTCGGCCTCGGGGTGTGCATTGTGGCGTGGGATGGCCCCTCCTGAGGGACCGAGGTGGTTGGTGCTGAGTCAGACCAGAAAACAGGGAAAAACCACCCGAATCCCAGCCCCAGACAGGCTTTTGGGCAGAGAGGATTGCTGGGTCTGTGGGATCCCCGTCCTCTCCCACCCTTGGGGTCCCAGTTTGCTGTGCTGAGCCACACGGGGCGGGTGAAGCCGAAAGGATCGGTTAAAGACAAATCCCACTGTGCGTGGGGCTGCTCCGGGCAGTCTGGGACAGCGGTGGATCCCGCACATCTCTGGTCCCTCCCCGGACAGCACAGCGTGTCCCCGTCCCTGTCCCCATCCCCAGCCTGGCAGCTGGGGGGGACGCTGGAGCCTGGCCCACCACCCCGCCTGCCCGGAAAGGGCTTTCGGAAGCGCCTGGGGATTTGGGAACCATGCCGGGTGCCGCGGGCAGCACCTCCTCCCGCAGCGGGCCAACCTCCGCCGGTCCCACGGAGCTTCCCAAAGCCGTGCTCCGGCACAACCTGTTTAACCGCAGATTTAATTTTAATTAACGGACCCATTGTTTGAGGGTGGTGGTTGGGTGGATTTCTCTTTTTTTTTTCACGCTCCCAAGGGCTGATCCCAGCTCTCCCCCATCACCGGTGCTGGTGTTGCCGCCCTGAGCCGATGGTGGGTTGCGTTTGCCAGCAGAGCTCGGGGTGATCCAGGAGGTCCTCGTCCCCATCCTCGTCCCCGTGGGCCATGGCATCCGCTGATCCCCGGGCTGCGGATGGGGCTGAGTCACCGCAACCCCGTGGCACTGAGCTGTGACCCGGCACCACCCAACCCCCGTGGGCTCGCTGCTGGCCCCACGCCACGGCAGCCCTGTCCCAGCCTGGCCGCTCCGGGCTTTCTGCTCGAAGGGAATGTCTGAGTTCGTTTTTTCTCAGCCGCTGTCGGAGCCGGTCGCGGTTGGGCTGTCGTGGTGCCCTTCGGCAGCCGCCGCCGCCTTTTCCTCCTCGGGCTGCCGCAGGAGAACGAGCCCTCGCATCGGCAGCTCAGCCCTTTGCCGCAGCATCCCTGCGGTGCCGGCAAGAGTGGGGAGCCGGGGCACCTCACCCCCGTCCCAGCTGGTGGGGGTGTCCCCTCCCTATCTCTAGGTGCTATCGGGGAGTGATGTGGGGTCACTCATCGTTTTGGGGCTCAGGAATGGCAGGGACTGCCCCGCTGTGCTTTATTGTGGGCACGGAGGAACACAGCGGGGAACTGGTGGCTCCATCCCGGTTTGGGGTCTGCCCTGCCTGCCCGTGACGGGGTTGCAGGCAGCACCAGTGCACGGGGATGGATGGACGTGTGTGCCGGGGCAGGGCTGGGTGTCCTGCAGGCAGCACCCCACTCTGCCCGGCACCCCAGGGACAGCACCGCTCTCCCTCCCCAGGGGCTGCTGAGCCCTCGGCACCGCACCAGTCTGGTGGGAGATGTCCCTGCCCAGGGTAGGGGTTGGAACTAGATGATCTTTAAGGTCCCTTCCCACCCAAACCACTCTACGATTTTGTGATCTTGGCCCCTGTGTGCCCACGGAGCCAAAACCTTGGGGGCTGGGGGGCTTTTATACCTTGGTGTCAGCTGTTAAAAGGGCTGTAAGAGCCAATTCCCCGATCCCCGATCGCTTCCCCTCTTGCCTGGGGCGGTGGGACGAGCACGGTGCTCCGTTGGTGTGGCTTCGCCGCGGGCGAGCTCCGGTGCGAAGCCCGTGGGACCGGGGCCGTGCTCACCGCCAGCAGTGTGGACAAGGCAGGGAGCGTTTGCCGGGGCTGATGCAATTACCGGCGCAGCCCTATTTAGCTCAGGCAGGGAATATGAGGTTTTTTGGGGTGCTGTGCGGGTCAGTGCTCCCCGTGAGCATCTTGCTGCGCCTGGGGCTGCCCCTCCAGCTCTCCTTTTCCAGGGGAAAGCAAAAAACGGAGAGAAGAGGGAAACGGCTGCCCAAATTGGCTTCTTAGAGCAAACAGGTCCCCACCCAGCCCAGCCGCCTGCGTGCCAGAGCGGGAGAAAGTCAAACAAAGGCCCCCGCCCTGAGAGTACAGCACCGTTTGGCAGACGATTGCTCAGTCCTTCGGGGCCACTTGCCCAAGGGATTGGGTCCTCGTGGTCCCGACTGGGGCGGGATGGGGATGGGGATGAGGATGGGGATGGGGATGGGGCCATCCATCCCGCTGCGTGCCCAGGGACAGCTCCGCAGCGCTGCTCCTCCATCTGTCCGGTTTATAGCCGCGGGAGAGAAGCCTGGCGGAGGTGGGATGGGTGGAAGATGCACCACGACCCCAGAGCATCTCAGAGGCTTTGCGGATGAGACCCCCGTCCCCTCCCCAGAAAGCCGCCGCGACCAGCACTGTGCAGTGAGCTGGAGCCATGCAAGCTGTTACCGCTTCCCTTTTGTGCCGGGAGCAGCGTGAGGCTGGATTTAGGGCTGATCTCCTAAAGCTCTTCTTTTAATCCAGAGCGAATCAAGGAGAGGTTTGGAAGCTGCCGCCATCTCTCAGGGAGACTGGGTGGTGGGGGGGGCTCAGCGGCGCGGGCACCCCTTCTCCCTCCTCCTCCTCCTCCTCACTTTGGTGCCACCAAAACCCCCCGGGGACGTGGGCTCCAGCTCCCGAACCTGCAGCCCCTCCCCGGGTCCCCGTGGGCTCAGGTTGGTGCGGGTGCTGTTTGGGCGGCCACGGTTCCTCCATGTGTTTTTCCAAGGTTTTTTGGGCTTTGCCAGGAGATGAGCGATGGGCAGAGCTTCCTCCTGGCGCAGGTGATGCAGAGCTTCAAAACCCATACTTCCAGGGGCGTTCAAATCCTCAGCGAGGGCGTTAAATTCATCCCCACCGGCCTCACTGCGGTTAACTGGGCCACGGTGCGTGGCCATTAACGATGTTTAATTAACGCCTCAGGAGGAAAGCCAGGCCCAGCAGCATGGAGCTGAGCAGCGTTTGGCACGGCAGCGCTGCGGGGACGGTGACACGCCGTCCCGGGCGCTCGGTCGCTATCGTCCCTCCTACGCCAACCAGCCGGCTGCTCGGCTCCCCGCACTCAAGGGACCCGATGGTGTATTTTCCTTTTTAGTCTTTTAAACCTTTTTTTTTTTTTTTCCCCCTCCCTGGCTGAGATTTAGAGCAAAGAGGGACCCCTTCCCCTGCCCGCTGTCCCCCATTCCCCTTTGGGGGCTGCCTGGTTTCCTTACGGGGGGGTTGGGGTCGGTTCAGGCTTTGCACATTCCTTTTTTCTTGCAGGCTCTGTTGCAAAAACTGCTTTTAAATCACCGATTTGGGGTGGGTTTGGTGGTTGGGTTTTTTTTTATTTTTCTTCTTGTAAAAAGCAATACCGGAGGCAGGCAAGGAGCTCGGCAGAGCTCTGGCCGTGCCCATCGCCAGCCTCTCCCCTGGCAGGGGCTTTCTGTTCCCAAAGCCTCACACGGCTCTCGGGGAGGTTTCTCCACGGATGGAGCCGTTCCCTGGTGTTGCCATGGAAATTCAGCAGGCTCATCCTCTTCTCCACGGCCTCCAGGGCTCCCCACGTACCAGAGACAGATGGGGACGGGCTGATTTTTGGGTAGTTTTTTTCTTGCGGGAGAGTAAAAGGAAAGTTCTCGTCTGGGGGTTGGCAGCAGCGGGTGAGCGCTGGGTCCCCTCGGTCCCCGGCCCGGGAGAACCGGGTTTGGGTGCTGTCACCGTCACCGCTGAGGCATCCTCGGGTGAAAGCACCAGGTTGATGTTTCCCACGCACAGAAACGTGGCTGTGGGGTTCGGGCATCCCGCGGCTCTTGATGCCCATGGGCCACCCACCATAGGTGCCTTGGAGCCCCTCCGGCGTGTCCTGCTGGCTCCTGCGAGGGCATCCAGCCCCAGCTGGGACTGAACTGCTGCCAACTTGCTGTGCAATTCAAGGAAGACCCTAAAAGCCTGCGGTGGTCAGGACCTGCTTGTCCCCCAGGCTCCTTCTCCCTGCTGGCTGCTGCCTCTGGTCCTCCCAAAATCAGCACCACCATAGGTGCCTTGGAGCCCCTCCGGCGTGTCCTGCTGGCTCCTGCGAGGGCATCCAGCCCCAGCTGGGACTGAACTGCTGCCAACTCGCTGTGCAATTCAAGGAAGACCCTAAAAGCCTGCGGTGGTCAGGACCTGCTTGTCCCCCAGGCTCCTTCTCCCCGCTGGCTGCTGCCTCTGGTCCTCCCAAAACCAGCACAGCCCCCCCCGGCCCCGTGGCTGACCCCAAGCCTGCGTTCATCCGGGGGCTCGCAGGGCACCGTGGGTCTCTTTGGAGGTTTTTTCCCCCCTCTAACAGGCTTAGTTCCTCCCTTTGTGCCTGGCTGCTGGGCGGGAAGGCAGGAATCGGTGCCGAGGTGAACCTCTCCTTTTCTCCTCTCCTCCTCTCCCAGCAGGTTTGGAGCCGGCGCTGAGCGGAGGGATGGGCAGCACCAGCCCCGGGCTGACCGCTCTGCCCCACAGCCGCCTCGCTCGGCCGGACCCTGCGCTGCTGCCCCCTCCGCGGGACCCCGACACCCGGAGCTGGGGCTGCCCCGATAGCCCCAGCCCCCCCGCCACCCCCGAGCAGCCCCTGCCTGCTTTCTGCCTGCACTACTTCGACATGCTCTACTCGGAGGACATCACTTGGGCCACCAAGGGCGTGGGGGAACCGTCCCAAAGCGGTGCCCAGGGGGGGCGAGGGGAGGCGCAGAAGGAGCCGGAGCAATGTCCCATCATCGACAGCCAGGGCTTGGGGCTGGGGACCGAGGGGGACCTGCAGGCCAGCCTGCATCTGGAGGAGCACTCGCTGGAGCAGGTGCAGAGCATGGTGGTGGGCGAAGTGCTGAAGGACATCGAGACGGCCTGCAAGCTCCTCAACATCGCCGCAGGTGGGTGTCATCCCCCCACCCTCCACCTCCACCAGCCCTTCCCCGGGGTGGGGGGGCTGCGGGCAGGGTCGGGTCCCGCTGCGGGATGCATCGAGGGAGGGATGCGCCAGCGCGGGGACTAAAGCCGTGCTGCGTTTCGGGGGGGTTGCAACCAGGAGCCGGGGTTTGGGGGAGAGCTGCTGCTGCCTGTCTGTCCCCCCCCGGCATCGCTGCTCGCTCACGCCCAGGGACACCAGCAGGATACCCCTCTGCCCTCCCTGGCTCTGCGTTACGCTGAGGCAGGGGTTAGCAGAGCTTTACGGTGCCGCAGAGCCCTGTGCTAGCTGTGGGGTGCCGGTGTGATCCCGCCGGTGCCGCAGAGCCGGAGAGGTGCAGGGACACAGCGACCCCATGCTGAGCCCATCCCCTCCCTGAGCTGGGGGGTCCCTTCCCCTCCCAGTGCATCGCTATCGAGGCGCCTTCCAGACCTCTTGGGGAGGGTGTGCGGTAGCAAGGAGCAAACGGCGCGACTTTTATTATCTTTTTCTCTATCCCGTTTTCCCTGGGACGTTAGGAACAGGCAGATGAGTGTGTGGGGTTGGGGACAGCCTGGGGCCGGGTGGCGTTACCCGTGCTGGGTGTGGGGTCGGGTGTGAGGGGAGCAGGAGAGCCCAGGACGGAGTTCCCTGGGGTATTGCTGCCATGGGGTATTCTCGGGACATCGCTGCTGTGACACAGGCGGTCTCGGGATGTGTTTGGGTTTCTGCAGGATCTGCCACCCACTCCCTTGAAGCATTTGGTGTCACCTGGGATGGTTCAGGGAGCAAGTGGGGCTCCAAAAGGCTGGATGAGGCTTCCCAAAGCAAAGGAGGTGACAAGGGGACAGTCTTGTCCCCAGGGACCAGGCTGGAGCAGGGTGCTTCCACCCTGGTGGGTGATGCTGCAGTAGGGCAGGAGGGGACGGGTTCCCGGGGCTGCTGTGGGGTGAGCTGAGTTCCCCCGGGCTTTGCTGGGGCTGTCGATGGCCGGGCTCACCCTCTGCCTCCAGACCCTGCGGACTGGAGCCCCGGCAACGTGCAGAAGTGGATCCTGTGGACGGAGCACCAGTACCGGCTGCCGCAGATCGGGAAGTCCTTCCAGGAGCTGTCGGGAAAGGACTTGTGTGCCATGTCCGAGGAGCAGTTCTGCCAGCGCTCACCTGCCTGCGGTGACATCCTGCACGCCCATCTTGACATCTGGAAGTCCGGTAAGTGCCAGGGACCGGGAGGGAGCTGAGGAGGGTGGGTGATGCTGTGCAGCGGGAGATGCCCCTCTGACCGCCCACTCCTCCCTTCCAGCCGCCTGGATGAAGGAAAAAGCTGCCCCGGGAGATGTCAGATACTGCGGTGAGTTCTGCGTGGGCTCAGCTCCACTGGCCTCGCTTCTGCCTCAGACAGGTCCAGGGTATCTGAGAGGTTGCTCCCTGCTTAATCGCAATTACTTGTTGTGTTGGAGCGGCTGCTGCAGCAGCACACATGTGGCTGCACTCCCTCTGCCCCGGAGCAGCCCCTGTGCTCTCTGCAAGGTGCAAGCGAAGGAGAAATGGCCACGAGACCCTCACTGGCCCCATCCTGCACCCCATGCATCCCTGCGGGGTGATGCGAGGGCAGGACCAAGCTGTTTCCCCTGCTCCAAGTTGGGGAGGAGAAAGCGGTACTTCCAAACCCGGTGCCTGGACTGAGTCTCCGGAGACCCACAGGCAGCGAGACGGGATTTCCCAGACGAGGACTCGTGTGGGTCCCCGGGGCGGTGCAAAGCAACGAGGCCTCTTTCCCCCCACCCATCTCACCCATCTCCATCCCTTCCCGCGGCAGGAGGTGATGCCAGCTGGGCAGACAGCGAGGTGGACTCATCCTGCGCCGGCCAACCCATCCACCTCTGGCAGTTCCTCAAAGAGCTGTTGCTGAAACCCACAACTATACTAATCCTAAAACCCCAACTAATCTCAGGAACCCTCTCATGCAAGTATAGTTTCAACCCAAACATTAGACTGTGATTCTAAAAATAAGGTGGGTGGGTGGGTGGGTGCATGGGTGCTCCAGCGGCCCCGGGGTGGGCGCTTGGGGGGGCAGGTGAGGCCATAACCTCCCCTCCATGCCCCGTTCCCCTCCCAGGCATCTTCAAGATTGAGGACTCGGCACAAGTGGCGCGTCTGTGGGGCATCCGGAAGAACCGCCCGGCCATGAACTACGACAAGCTGAGCCGCTCCATCCGGCAGTATTACAAGAAAGGCATCATCCGGAAACCCGACATCTCCCAGCGCCTCGTCTACCAGTTTGTCCACCCGGTCTGAGCGGTGGTGGAGGGACAGGCTGAGCCCCAGGAGGGACAGGGGCCCCTCGCTGCCGCCTCCCTCTGCCTCCCAGCCACAGAAACCATCTTCCAGCACTAAGGACCACGGTTGGGGTGCCGAGAGGCTCAATCCCCCCGGGATACCGGCTGCCGCAGATCGGGAAGTCCTTCCAGGAGCTGTCGGGCGGAGGGGAGGGCTGAGCCCCCGCCACCCCCACCTCCTGCGAGCGCTCCCAGGGGAGGGTGGACACGGACTCTGGGGCTGGCGGATGAGACGGACGGTCGATCGGTGTACGATAAAGTCAAATGAATCTGTGGCTGTCGCAAGGGCTCCCTGCAGGCTTGGCGCCCTTCGGCAGGGATCGAAGGTGGGCGCGTGGTCACCCAGGGGAGGAGGTGGGGGACGCAGCAGTCCTGTCCCCAGGTCTCTTGCCCCCCAGCACGTTGTCCTCTCACCCGACAGCCCCAGGGCATCGTCAGCACACGGTGGCCAAGGGCACAGCCCAGCAGGAGACCTCGCTATCCCCATGGCACCATGCCCTGGGACTGCTTTGTGGTGGGGACAACAGCACTGGGACCAGAGTCCCCTCAAGCCAGATCCTGTCCCCGTGCCACCACCGCCCCGGCTGCCCTCGGTGCCCATCAGGAGTGACCCCGTGCTCTGGATTTACCCCGACGAGCAGCTCCTGACCCTCAGCCCTCTTCGGGGTGGGGGGCAGCATGGTGGGGGGCTTTGTCCTTTGCTGCATCCCAGCTCTCAGCTGCAAAGAAAGGGGCTGGCCCAATTTCAGGCACGGGGGGGACAGTGGCTGCGCTCGTCCCTCCCTCCTGGGCACCGGCTGCGGGTGGCTTTGCCCCGGCCATTGTTCGGGGAGGACAAAGCCCGGGCGCGTGAGCAGGGACAATAGGACACACA